TATATAAATATTATTATAATATAATAAATAAATTATACAAAAATTATAATAATAAATAATATAAAATATATAATAAATATCATAAATTATAATAAATATTAATAAATATTAATTTATATAATAACATAAAAAAATAATATAATAATTATAATATTAAAAAATTGTACAAATTAATACAAATGTTCAAAAGTACTACAAAAAAAAACACACATAATAAACAATAAATAATAAAATAATAATAATCAAAGTTTAAAACATTAATATAAATATAAAAGATAAAGTAAAAAATAAAATAAAGCATTAATATTCTCTTTATCAACATTAGTTTCTACCAAGCACGTGATATGATATATAAAAAACTGTAGCATGTGCAAATGAAAAGATAAAAAAAGAGAGAGAAAAATATACTGAGCGTTGGCCTACTTTCAACTGCACTTTAATTCGACAAGGTTCTTTTTTTTTTTTTTTTTTATCAAAATCAGACATCCTTCTTCCCTTCTTTCCTTTCTTTCCCCCTTTTCCTATCTTTTCTTTTTTATTTCTTTTCTTTGCACCATTTAAAAGATATATATATATTAAAAATAACATTTAAATAATAAATCGTTTTACTTTAAAATATTAAATTCATGAATATTAAAAGTAATAAATTATTATTTTTTTTAAATGTATCTATAGGAAGGGTTATGTTATTCAAATAATATTTGAAATTATTATATTAATGATATATGCTATAAAAAGGATCATATATATGTGTATATAAAATTATAAAAAAAAAATTATATATATATATATATATATATATAAGTTAATTTCTAAACGAACAAACTTTCCCATTGTCAAAGTCATCAAATCTCATTGTCAAAGAAAATTTAGAATTCAAGGAAGTTGGGGACCCATTTCTTGACTTTTGATACGTCCCTGACTACACAACTATTCCTAGTTGTTATCGGTTTCCTTGACTTGTTCCTCGGTGACTATCTTCGGACAGATCAACTTCCTAAGAGTAGTAGAATAAGAAGACTTTAAAGATGAAAGGGCTCGTAGGTGAAGGGGTGAAGGRAACATGAAGAACGAAAGAAAGAGAGAGAGAGAGAGAATGAACGTTGAAGGGGTAGCTCGAGGGACTACACTTAAAGCAAGTTTCCTCGTTAGAAACTTTCCTAGGTAGGATATTTTGAAATTGCTAGGCCGTTACCATCAGCTGGCTAGGGTTCTGCAATTTACTGCTATTCAACTATGGGGGTGTTTTCTCAATCGAAATTTCAACAAAAAAAAAAAAGTTGCAAAGTATAAAAATACGAATAACAATTTAAAGAAGAAGTACAAGAAGTAGAAAGTGATATTATTAAATATAAAAATCACACACACACATTTTTTACAATACAAAAATTATATTTAACTCACATGAAACCTTATTTCTTGTTTTTTTTATAAAATATTGTAAACTTTAATTCAAGTTTGTTGCATAAATAAATACTTTTTACAAGTTTCCAATATTAATATTATTCTATTTAATTATTAATGTTATTAATATTAACCCTTTGAGTGCTATGGACGCATATATGCGTTTGTTAATATACGTATTTGTTATTATTAATGTAAAATAATTTAATATTTATATTAATCAATTAAATTATTGGGTTGTCCGGAAAGTTCGTGCAGATTTTCGATAGATGGCATTAAATTTCTTTTGCTAAAAAACCTGAAAAGTATTTTTTTGCTAAAAAACCTGAAAAGTACTTTTTTGCTAAAAAAAACCTGAAAAGTTCTGGAAGCACGAATTTTTAAAAAATTATTATACTATTATTTTTATTATTATTTTTATTATTATATTTATTATAGTTCGTGTATCGTTTTTATATAATTCTTATATAAGTTCGTCCCGATTTTCAATAGATGGCATTAAAGTTCTTTTGCTAAAAAACCTGAAAAGTTCTGGAAGCACGAAATTGTAAAAAATTATTATATTATTATTTTTATTATAATATTTATTATTTATTATTATATATTATTATATTATTATTATTATTAATATATTTATAGTTATATTTATTATGTAATAAATATATAACAAAAAAACAACTTAAATGGGTTGAATTTCAATCTTCCGTCAAAATCGGCACGAACTTTCAGGACAACCCAATATATTCAAAAACAAAAAAACTTCAATTATTAAATATAATTTATAATTAGTATCTGGTTAATAATAAATTATTTTGTTCCTAAAAAACATTTTAAGTAAAAGTATTTAGCACTCAAAAGGTTAATTGTATGTATATCTGAAATAATAATGTTTAATTTACAGTAATTAATAATTTACAGGAACTAGCCTATTCGCGGTAGCTGCTCACGAATTTGGTCATTCACTTGGCCTGGCACATAGTTCTGTTCAAGGAGCTCTAATGTATCCTTGGTATCAAGGATTGAGTCCTAATTACGAGCTACCGGAAGATGACAGACATGGAATACAACAGATGTATGGTAAGTTCATTTATCATTTCATATTTCACTATTATTTCATTATTTATTTATAAGATTGCTTTCAAAATATTTATACTTTTATTTTATATATTTATGGGACACCTTGTATATTTCTTTTTTTCGATAATAATACTTATTGGTATTTTAAAACACCCTGTAAATTGCAAACCAATAAATATAGTGTTAAATTTACGAAAACGATACTAAGTGATACGTTTGACTACTCTTACATGTGTGTGTGAATGTGTGAGTGTATGTAAACGTGTTAGTGTGTGTGAGTGTGTGGGTGTGGTTGTAGGATGTAAAGAAAGTAATAGAAAGTGGTATCAGTAGTAGTAGTAAGGCAGGTTCAGTTGGCGCCAGTGAAGTAGGTAAAACGTTTGAGCAGACAAGTAGTAAAGTCGTATCGTATAGTCAGACACAGAGCAAGTATTTCCTACAAATAATGAATAGGTCTCTCTTTCCTTTCTAAACACCACCAAAACGGACACCCAATGTATTTTTAAATAAAAGAGGATGAGATTGAAAAGCTATCTCGTTGATCTTAAAAACCTGTTACTTATTTAAACTTTTACTTTATTTATTTATTTATTTATTCAAGTATCAAAAAGAATTCTTAAAATTGTCTCACGTTCATTTTTAATTTGAAATTTGTTAAAAAAAAAAAAAAAGAAGTAAAAGTAATTATGGGAACAATCAATTTTTCGATCAAAAGTTAACATTTGAAATTAGTATTTGTTGCAATTAGGTTTGTTAAAAAAATTTTTATAAATATTAAAATAATTAAAATAATAAAAATGAAACGAGTATTCATCGCAACTCAATTTATGCGAATAATTATTGAAATTATTTTATAATAACAATAACTATGATTGTTAATATTTTAAACGAAACAAATTCTATACATTTTGATGTACAATTTTTTATATTCCCTTCTCACCCCTTGTCAACAGAAATATAAAACAAAAATATTCAAACAATAATATGAACAACTATTAATGCATATAACAATAAAGAAAATCATATAATTATTATTCCGATCATTATTATAATAAAATCTTGTTCTTTCTCTCTCATACACACACACACACACACACACATATATATATATATA